ATACAAACTGTTGATGCATTGTTTTCAGGATGAACCAGATCTAGGAGACTTTGAAGGTCAATTACATTATTTGTACTTAATCTTTTTATTTCTTAGAATTAATTGAGATTTAATAAGTAACTCATTTTACTTTACAAGGCAGCATCTCACATTTCTCTCCGCCCCCTCTCTTWTTGTAGACATTGGTGAACCGAAGGACATTACACAAATAAACATGGGTAAAGTTAAACATCTTCATGTCATTAAATGAACACTGTTGGGATGTTTGTCGACTTGACTTCCTGGGGGACTGTGAGGCTGATTTTTCTCCTGCTTCTTCTTAGAATCACATTTAAATGATGATATTCTGGAGGTGAGTTGAGCATTTTTAACAAAATTATTCTAAAAACAATATATGTGTATGTATTCATCTTGTGTGTCACCCAAAATATTTCAGGCACCGGACAGGCAAAGGAGCTCTGTTGTTTATGATGAAATTCTTTGGACATCCCCAGTCTCGTATGTTYTGGAAAATGACCTTGGTAAAAATAAAATAATCTTGCATGATAACCCTGAATTTTATGTGATATAGGACTTCACCTACGATGTGTTCTCCAGATTGAGGCTATGAAATATATAACATGATTGTACTTGTACAGCAGCCAGCCAGCAGTTTAGTAAGCATCAATTAGTAGGAGGCTGTTGCCTCCTACTAATAAACACATTTGTCGTAAACATATTTCATTGGAAAGAAAACCAGAAAGACACTGAGGTGATCGAAGCTACTTGATTGACATCCAGAAGKAATTTGTCTTTCAGAGTAATGCACTTAGGCAAGYTGACTTCARTCTGAATTAATTTCATCATGTCTTTGATTTGACCTGTAACATCATTCCCTTGAACAATGGAAGACATCAATGCCAGAGGAGTGATCCTGAAGGCCTTCGACGAGTACAGGTTGAAGTCATGCATTGACTTCAAACCAAGGGACTCTGAATACTATTACATCTCTGTCAAACAATTAAACGGGTATGTATTGTTGTATTTTTTTTTCAATAACATCATTTATCATGCAAACATGTTATATAATAGAAGAATTCTCTGCTTTTCTCTGTCATATATCTACACTGGAATCTTTGGGGTGTTAACCAAAACAACAGATATGAAAAGTCAAGTGGAGTTTTCTTATAAACAAAGTTTGTGTTCACTGTTATTTGGCAAGGGCCCTTTACCAGATGCAAATTAAAAGGAAACCCCTCATAAAGTGTCTTTGCTAGTTTCAGAGTGATGCAGTTGTCATTTTCTCATTCTGTATCTTCATTGCTTGAATGGCAAATGCACTGGTGCCTATCTAAGCACCCATCGCCGTACTGGTCTGAGGTGTGGTCACGGGCAATTCTGGCACATTTTTTTCTTGAGCCAGGGGAAAACGATCTTTGAATAACAAAAAATGGATCTGAAGTAAATTACATGGAATTGTAATGGCTATCTGCCTTGGCCTTTAAAACCATGCACCTGGGGCATCAGCCTATCTTAATGCACCGTGGCTCTTCTTACGTCGGCACATATTGGTGATGTGTTTTCCCTTGCCTCAAAACAAGACACGTTAACAATGCCCCTTTCCACAACAAAATTGTAAACCTTTGCCGCTTGAATCTTGAGGCTCATGAAGTAAAAAATCTATTCTTATCCATTTTTACTTCTTCACTGTCTTGTTTTGGCACATTAGGGTATTCATAGACATGGTACCATCACCTGTCCAGTGGAATAGTGTGAACATTTTTCATTGGCCTACTTTTAGTGGTGGTCAGAAACTCGACAGGAACCTTTGGGCTTGTGGAATCACAATGACTTTTTCTCTCTTGCTGACTTTTAATAAATAAATGATTCATAGAAAATATCAACAACAGATTAATATGATATTAATTGAATTAAAAACATGACGGTAGTGTAGTAGTCAATGTATTTGTTTAATTATACGATCTCTGACCTACCCAGACTGACAAGTCTTTCTGTCTTTTAGATGCTACTCATATGTTGGGAAGTTATTTAGTGGACAGGATCTCTCCATCGGCAGATTTTGTGATGACATCGCCATTGTGGAACATGAGTTTCTCCACGCTCTTGGCTTCTACCACGAACAAAGCCGTTATGACAGAGATGATCATGTAACCATTGTTTTCGAGAACATCATAAAAGGTTATATTTCTTGCATTCCTGCTCTTTATATTCAGTGATTTATCTTTAATATATTACAGGTGTTAAGGTGCACAAGGGTCTTAGAGTATTACAAATGTACCAATGTATCAATGAATTAATTGATCCATGGATCATATTGTTCTCTAATTAATATTCAGTGAGTTAATCTTAACCATCTTTAGGTTTTCAATGTAGTATTTTGTAATTAACATTAATTTTGCTTTTATGTATGTCATCTAGGTTTTGAGAATAACTTTAATAAAGTTAATCAGAGCCAGAGCACGATATCAGGACTCCCATATGACTACACCTCAGTGATGCACTACGGCCCAGATTCATTCACCAATGGAAACGGGTCTACAATTGTCACCAAAGACCCAAAGTTCCAGAGTGTGATCGGTCAAAGAGAGCAAATGAGTCCAATCGATGTTAAGGAGCTGAACCGCCGCTACAAATGCAGTAAGATCTTGGTGTGAAAGTAACTACTATATGTTTGGGTGTTTCAATAACTAAAATCTGTGTAATAATAAACATATGCCTACAATACAAAATACTCTTTCATCCTCAAAACAGTACTTGTTGACAGTGTTGTAGTGGTATCTTACTTTTACTTCTATCTGAAAATGTAATTATYCTATTTTTTTCCCCCACATTATCGTCTCCCTGGTTAAAGTTGGAAGCACTTCGCCCACCCCTCTATCAGCATAGTGGATGAGTGGATTTTTCAGTACACTATTCCTTTAATTCTGACGTTACTGTCATGCTGTACACCTGCATGAATATGCAATTACTTGTCAGCTTATAGCCATGTACAGTACATAGCTGTATAGAATAGTTGTGTAACCATCACATTAAAGCTTTGCATTTCAGACTGGTTGTAATGATGATTCTGGAGACATACCTGCAGAATGAGAGAGAGAAGACTTACACCAATTCCCCCTAAAGTCAGAACATAGTCTTATATACTGTGTTCTTTGTTCACCTCTACAGATTCAACCATTGCATTTAAAATGTCATGCAGCTTCTCTAATGGGAGCATGTGTGGGATGAACAACTGCTCAAAGAGTGGTGAAGGCAGTGGCTGGGAAATGGTAAAACAAGCACAAGGGGGTCCTAAAACTGACCACACCACTCTACCCAATGCAAGCAGTGAGAAAGGTGAGAGTTCAAATTTTCAAAATCGACATGTTTTTCTATTCTCTTCTTTTAAGTAGGACAAATGGCTTTCAGGAAAGTATTATAACGTGATATATAATCACATATATGATTTACTTAAATTGTACATGAGTATCACATTATATTTTAATTCATTCTTTCTAGGTGAAGGAGTAGGTTATTTCATGCATGCTAGCACAGCAAGCATTCAGGAAGGAMACACCTCATGGCTGGAGACCAAGACGATGAAGCCAACTAGGGAGTGTCATGTCCAGTGCCTCCGGTTCTACTATTACCACAGTGGGGACRAATCAGATATACTGAACATCTGGATCAGAGAGTTTGAAGATGAAGATGACTCTGAAGGAACCCACCGCCTCATGGCACAGATCACTGGTAATGACAGACTGTGTTATTATTACCCTCATCAACTCWAAATGATAGGAAAGACTCTGATGGACCATGAATGTGTGACATTTCCTTCCTCCAGGTCCTCAAACATCTCACTGGCGCATCCATCATGTTTCCCTAAATGCCWCCAAGCACTTCCAGKTGGAGTTTGAGGCTCGTAAAGGAGCAGGGAACTCTTCAGGCGGTTTCTCAATTGATGACATCAATCTATCTGAGATTGAGTGTCCACATGGAACCTTGCAGATTGATAATTATATGGAGGTTACAAACTCTACTAAKGCAACCAATGTGTACACCCCACGGCAGTACACCATAGACGGCTATGCCTACCGGTTACACGCAGTGTTGTACAGGAGCTTCTTCTCACTGGGTATCCAAATGTTGTCAGGCGAAAATGATGACAAGCTGAAGTGGCCTTGCGCACAAAGGCAAGTGACTCTACGAATGCTGGACCAGACACCAAACTTCCAGATGCACATGTCAAGGGATCGATTTTTCACCACTGACCCAAATACAGTCAACTCTAGAGGTAAAGTTAAGAAAACATGAACAAATCCTTCTTTAAAAAAATGTGCAGTTTATCACTGTAGCATGCAATATGACAGTGTTTTCTCTCTGGCCATGTTTATTTACTGTTCTATCCTTTTTGGAAACAGGCATCAGTCCGTGGGACAATCCTCGTAAGAATGGAACTGAATTCATTGATGAGAATAATCAGACTGCCTATCACGGATATTCATATGGCTTCAGAACTTTTGCACGTTCTGAAGTAATTAACTCCAGAAACTACCTCAAGGGAAACAGTTTGATTTTAACCTTCAGCTTCCAAGGTAAGWTGATTGAAATAGCTTTCTCTGCTTGGAATTTTATAACAAACATGTTTGAAGCATTTAAACCGATTTAACACTGAGTGTAAATTTTGTTGTGTGCYGTTACTAAAAATATTTTATTTTTCTAGATCTCAATCCCTTGATAAATAAAAGTGCTTTGCCATGTCCTGAGCTGGCACCAGTGAAGATTGCACAGCC